TGTAAAGATACAAAATAACATAACCATTTTCCTTATCTTTGATGTAAACGGATTTGTCACATTCGTTAATTTTAAATCCACATTCTATCATAATATTATCAAATTTTTCATGCCACTGTTTGAGTACTTGTTTCAAGCCATATAAAGATATTACCAATTGACAAACTTTCTTTTCTCTCCATGACGATGAAAAACACTCATATCCATGTAAATTTATATATCTAAATCTCAACTTAAAAATGCAGTTTTAACATCCATTTAATGTACTTCAAGATATCGCAGAACTGCAATCTGATGAAAAACCCTCATATCCATGTAAATTTATTTCTCTAAATCTCAACTTAAAAATGCAGTTTTAACATCCATTTAATGTACTTCAAGATTTCGCAGAACTGCAATCATAATAATCATCCTATTTGATGTTATTCTTCTCATTAGGGAATATGTATCAAAATAATTAAGGCATTCTTGTTATCTGTAACCTTTTATTACTAATCAGCCTTATACTTCTCGATAGCTCCATCTGTTTTCATTTTTCTTTTGAAAATCCATTTTGTATCCTAATGGTTGGAGGAAAGTTCACTAGTTCCCATGTATGATTTTGCTAAATTGAATCTATTTCACTTTTAATGGCCTCTTTCCATTGAAATCCTTATGAAAAGTACACAGTTTCTTAAAAGTTTTGAGTTTCATTTTCTAGTATATAAGTCAGAAATTGAGCACCAAAAGATTTTTCTGTCATTTTTCTTTTACTATGTCTTGGTTCATCCTCAACCTCCTCTTCTAGTTCTTAATCTTGACTATTTTTCAATAATAGTCTAGTGTGTCCTTTTAGGAGAGCTTGCTTCTTCTTTGGATATGTATGGAAATACATATTCAAAGAATGAAGTATTTCTTGATGAAAAACCCTCATATCCATGTACCTTTATTTCTCTAAATCTCAACTTAAAAATGCAGTTTTAACATCCATTTAATGTACTTCAAGATTTCGCAGAGCTGCAATCACAAGAATCATCCTATTGGATGTTATTCTTCTCATTAGAGAATATGTATCAAAATAATCAAGACATTCTTGTTATCTGTAACCTTTTATTACTAATCAGCCTTATACTTCTCGATAGCTCCATCTGTTTTCATTTTTCTTTTGAAAATCCATTTTGTATCCTAATGGTTGGAAGAAAGTCCACTAGTTCCCATGTATGATTTTGCTAAATTGAATCTATTTCACTTTTAATGGCCTCTTTCCATTGAAGTCCTTATGAAAAGTTCACATTTTCTTAAAAGTTTTGAGTTTCATTTTCTAGCATATAAGTCAGAAATTGAGGACCAAAAGATTTTTCTGTCATTTTTTTTTACTATGTCTTGGTTCATCCTCAACCTCCTCTTCTAGTTCTTAATCTTGACTATTTTTCAGTCATAGTCTAGTGTGTCCTTTTAGAAGAGCTTGCTTCTTCTTAGGATATGTATGGAAATACATATTCAAAGAATGAAGTATTTCTCTATTCCATTATCATATGTTTGTGTATGTCTGAGATTTTAGACTTCTGTACAAGAAATTGATAAGCACTGCTATTATGTGCATAACCAATGAAGATGCAATCTACAGTTTTCGGGCCTATCTTTGCCTTCTTTGGTGTTGGAACAATTACTTTAGCAAAGCATTTCTACACTATTAAGTGTTTATAGGAAGACATTCTTCATTTTTCTTTCAGGACATCTTATTTAAAAAGTAATTTGCTGATAATACAGCTTTCTCCCACATGTTTTGAGATAACTTAGAACTTACTAACATTGCATTCATCATTCTTTTAATGTTCAATTTTTCAGTTCAGAAACACCATTTTGCTGCGGCAAATAAAGCGCAATGGTTTCGTGTATGTTTCCATATTGCGCATAGAGTTCAGCAAATGGTGCTTCATACTCATCACCTCAATCACTTCCCAACACCTTAAATTTCTTATTAAGTTGATTTTCAATTTCATTTATGTAAAGAAAAAATTTCTCTATAGTTTCGTCCTTACTTTTTAGTCAGTATACATAATAATATTTTGTACTATCGTCAACAAAAGTAATGATTTTCTCTATAGTTTCGTCCTTACTTTTAAGTAGATATACATAACAGTATTTCGTGGTATCATCGATAAAAGCAATGAAATACTTATTGTCACCTCTTGTTTATATAAATTTTAAATCATTTATGTCGCTGTGAATTAAATCAAGTGATTTTGTATTTCGTTCAATTGATTTAAAGGATGAATCTGTCAATTTTTCCACAACACAAGTTTTGCACTTATGTTTTGAATTAATAAGGAAGGCGATTATGCAATTCAAGTTAACTAATCTATGTAAAGTATCATAATTAACATTTCAAGTCTACCGTGCTACAAATTGGAAGACTCGAGTAAGTAAGCAAATGAATTAACTTTATTAATTTTCGAATTCACAACCATTACGTTCAATTAAAACATACCATCAGAAGCATAACTCTTTCTGACAAACATTCCACTCTTAGACAAAATGACTTTGTCTGATTCAAATATAATACTGAAACCATGCTTATTCAAAAGTGACCCGTACACTAGGTTTTTGCGAATTACCGAAAGCACATTGTTGAGAGTCAACTCTTTCCCAGTAGTCATCTTCAGAACCACATTTCTTTGACCTTTGATTTCAGAAGTTGCTAAATTTTTCATTAACAACTTATCTCCATTCTCAATTGCTTCAAAAACAGTAAATATCTCTTTATCAGAGCACACATGCTCATAGCTCTGGTGTTGATCTACCACTTTTTTGAGTTTGAACCCACCATATTCACTTCACAAATGACAGCTACGAGATTCATCTTTGACATGTCATGTTTTCAACCATATTGGCTTCTTTCTTATTGTTCTTCTTCGACAATATGCATTCTGAAGAATAATGGTCTTCTTTGTCACAGTTGAAGCATTTTCCTTGAAATTTCTTGGAAATACCACCTTTTGGTCCCAACTTAGATCCTTGCCATCAGATAGCCCATGTTTGTTTTTATAGGTTTTAGAACTTTGATCATGTTCTACAACATTGGCTTTAGCCATACTAGGATTGAATCCCTTCTTTTCTGAACTTTGATTGTCTTCTTTGATTCAAAACCTAATCATCAGTTCTTCAATCTTCATTTCCTTTTGCTTGTGCTTTAAGTAATTTTTGAAATCTTTTCAAGCCGGATGTAGCTTTTCAGTGATTGCAACCACTTGAAAAGTTCCACTCAAATTCATATACTTGATTGATTACTATTTTGGAGTCTATCATCTTATAATCTAAGAATCTGCCAACGATAAATTTCTTAGCCTCGGCATCCTCTGTCTTATATTTTCGGTCGAAAGACTCTTACAATTCCCTAACAGTTTTCATTGTACTATACACATTATATAGTGAATCTACTAAGCCATTCATGACACAATTGCGGCACAAGAAATCAGAGAGTTTCCAAGCATCAAGTGTGCTAATAGTTTGGACATCCCCCTCTCCCTCATCGAGTTTCGAAGCTGTCTTCGTCAAGAACCTCGTAAAATTCAAGTTAATCAGATTGAACAACATCTTATGTTGCCACATTTTGAATTAAAACTACTTAATTTCTTCAGTATTTTTCCATGATTAACCGTAACAGTTAAAATATGGCTAGTTGCTGGAGTTCGAGTCATAACAGAACTTGGCCATTCAGCCACGATCAAACCCACAGCTTGATTTCCAATAGCCAAAGTTTGGGTCACATCCATGTTAGTTGATGCCATTTCTAAAATATCAAATAAGTTGCGTTAATTTCTAAATTATGCTATTTTTTCAAATAACTTTAAAATTATGATATTTTTACAGTAATATTTCTTTAAAATCTAGAACCTCTTTCATCCTTTGAGTCAAATCCGTTTTAAAATGTTAGGAAAATATAAGAATGAAATTAGAAATATTGTTGGAATTGTATAAATAAAATAATGGAAGGAAATATTACATTAAATGGAGAAATAATAAAATTAGAGAAAATTGTTGTTAAGGTAGTAGCGATATTGAAAAGAATTGATGCTTGCATATAGCTTCCTTAAAACAAATCCCCCACTGTGGTGCAAGAAGACTGATGGCGTCTGTCTCTCATGATACAACGATTGAAAGTAGTTGAATAGCACATCGTCACTACTTTAGGTGAACTAAGAATGATCACAATTTTATCACCAAACTAGAATAAAGAATTAAACTATCTAAGTTACTAAGAACTAAATTCTTGGAACAAAGAGGAAAGAGAAACTTAGAGTGAAGAAATAACTCTCAATTTTTATTTTTATTTTTGTGTGAAGATAAAGAGGAAAACATCTCCTTATATAGTACTAGGATGAGAGAGGTTTCAAATTTTTAATTAATTTTATATTTAACATAAATAATAATGCAAATGCCATTAATGAATTTGTAACTACAAGTTGATTATAAAATTGAACCAATTCCAATACAAATTAACTATAAAACTGACTAGACTTGAAACCTATGAATTGTTTTTACAATTTCATTCAACTTGAATATATTAATTTAATGTATTATTTTCCTATAGTTTTCACTTCCATTACTACAAGAATCTTCTATTTCTTTGTGGATATTGATGTATTTTGTTGGCTCCTCATTCTTTAGTGCCAATATGTGCAACAATCGCCTAGTGAATAAAATGAATTTAGAGGAGAATGCTTAACATGGTATCTGAGTAGCCAAATGTTGAGTTCAAATCGCTCAGCTATCTATTTAAAAAATACGATAATGCACTCTTTAATAATTCAATCTTTTAGATGAAAATTATTTAACAGACCACAAATCATGTAACACAAATTGTTACGTACAAACATGCTATACATATAAGTTGGCATATTTACTTGAGAAAATCACCACCATGCGATCGAACAAAAATCACTGATATAGGGAGGAGAATCAATTCACTAATTAAAGCTTCAAGTTGTAATTTTAAGAAGCGGTAAATTAATTCAACATTACCTTGGTCTGGAGTTTCCGGTTCTGTACTTGAAAAGTGTCATTTCTGCTTTCACAACTTCAAATTGTCTTTTAAGAAATTGATAGTCTTTCTCCAATTGTTTTATTTTACACCTAGCCCTATTGTTTTGAAACCATATGGCAATCTGTCTTGGTTGAAGCATGTGGGCTTGAGACAGCTTCACTTTCCTCTCGGGCTCAAGCCTGTTGCTTGACTCAAAGCTCTTCTCAAGTGTCTTGACTTGCTCCATGTTAAGCTTTCTTTTCTTCTCTCCCAATTCTGCCATCATCAAACAATCATCCTTCGACCCATGAACCTCCTCGCAAACATTATCAATACCCAAAAAAGAAATAGATGATCTCTTGATCCCTGGCAGAGATGGATTACACGTGTCAACAAAATATCAAAAATTCAAGATTCATTAGACATGACTAAACAATACTCGGACAAAATTTTAGCTTCTTTTTAGTTCCTTCATACTTTTTCCATTGTGTGTAGTCTACCATATTGAACATGCACACGTAATCCATTTATCCAAACCTCTAATAACTGTCAAATTGCAAGATTGGTGCTCTGAAATGAGGGCATGGTAAGGATTTATATAAAAAACAATAATTAAAGGTTAAGCTACTTATCATAACAAGATTGACGATTTAAGATGAAACTTCAAAACCCAACACACACTCGTGTGAGATAGAGAGAGCCATTGAATTCTTGAGGAGTACATGAGGGAAAAAGTTGTGCAAGGGAAGTGGTGGGTTGATGATCATCGTAATGAGGAGTTTTTAGCATGAAATTGGAGGGAAAAAAGGCCATTTCAATGCAACTCATAACCTAGAATTCTTGTGCAACTAATTCGAATGAAGAGGATGCCAATTCAACTATCATTTTTAGGGAGAGAAGATTGTTTCCATTGTTTCGTTGGATAGATTATATACCGTATCAGCTTCAAGAAATACTTTACCTTCTCTTAATATACTTATATTATGTTGTATGTATGAGAGAATATTTTTCATGTTGTGTGAACTATTGTTTACACGTACACTATTTTTCTAATATGGTACATGATGAAGTGCATAAAGAGTTAGAGTTTATGATGAAGTTAATCACAATACAAAATAATGATTTCATGATAACTTCGACTTTGTCCTTTTTTGATGAATTGCTACTCTAATTCAATTGGAAACGAGCCAATGATCATAAGTCAGAGCTTTTGGCCCTAACATATGTCGAATTTTGGGCAAATTCTGTCGTTTAGGCCCTCGATTAGACATTTTTGCCGTTTATGATAATTTTTATTTTGGCAGTATCTCATTCGATAAAATTCGAATTCGCATTCTTCTTGTTGGAGGCCGATCCTGAATCTTAAGAGTTTCAATTTAAGTTGTTATCTCGAAAAATTCCATTTTTTTATTTTTATTATTTATTTTTTTGATTTTTCTAGGGTTTTACTATTTAAAGCATTATAAGTCCTTTGAGGTTGCAGTTTATTCAATTGAATAAAATTTCTCGTAAGTTTTTTTCATCTTTGTGAGGTTATTCATCTTTCCTATAATCTTTCGCCACATCGTTGGTAACAGAGCCGAAGTCATTCTTTCACATGCAATCAATGAGACGTTCAGAAGCCTGTGAAGCCTCGATAGAAGCTATATAGACGTGATGAAATCGCATAGCTGCATCAACAAGTGGAGTTGCTGACACAGCAAATCACTGCACTCATGCCACAACAACATGCGCTTGTGGTCCAACAGGTTAAGGATTCTAATGATGAGAATCCGTTTGCACAACCTGAGCATCCAATAGATCTGCCAGTTCGACGGAGGGGGATGGTCAAGATGAAAGCAGGCATTGGGAATCAGGATTCAAGGTTGATATTCCTGAGTTTCATGGTGGATTAACTCTAGAGGAGTTCTTGGATTGGGTGACTAAAGTGGAGGAGATCTTGAAATTTAAGGAAGTTCCTACTGATAAATGTGTGCCTCTTGTTGTGACGAGATTTCGTGGACGAGCAGCTGCATGGAGGCAGCAGACTAAAATGACGAGATCCAGATTAGGAAAATCCAAGTTTGCATTGTGGGATAAGCTGGAGAAGCATATGAAGAAGCAGTTTCTGCCCTACAATTATGTTCAAACCATGTACCAGCAACTGCAGAATTTGCGTCAAGGCTTGAAAATGGTTAGTGACTATACCATAAAATTTTACATGTTGATTACGATGAATGAGATGATGGAGACGGATGAGCAGTTGGTTTCACGATATGTGGGTGGTCTTCGTCCCCAAATTCAAGATATACTGAATATGTTTGATCCTGTGACTGTATCTGAGGCACATTAGAGGGCAATACAAGTAGAGAAATAGCAGTCCGGAGAAGTACTGTTCCTTTCTCTGCGGGTAGTTCTTCCAATAATCCACAGCAGCAGATGACACATCCTGGTAATCCTTACCAACTTGGCCCTTCTAGAACTTATCCTGTTTATTTTCCGCGCATCCTGGATATGGTATTCGCTATTTTGCATGTGGACGTACAGGCTATAGAATGTCCCAACAATCTGCACAGAGGATTCTTTGTTGATGAGGGATATGGAGGTTATGAAGGTCCGCCTTTTTATGACAATGAAAACATCGAAGAGGCTACAGAAGAAGAAGAGTTTGTAGTTGGTGATGTGGGTCAGGCGTTGGTGGTGAGGCGAGCCTTTATAAGTCCCCTAGAGAATAATACCGACTGGCTGCGTAATAATATCTTGAGTCAACGTGTATTGTTGGGGGGAAGGTCTGTAGATTTGTTATTGATTCTGGTAGTTGTGAGAATGTGGTGGCTGAGGAGGTCATTAAGAAGCTGGGTTTTCAGACTGAAAAGCATCCCAAACAGTATAAATTGGCTTGGTTGAAGAGGGGCAATGATGTAGAAGTGTTTCAGCGTGCTCGAGTCAGTTTCTCCATTGGACCTACCTACAAAGATCGGGTTTTATGTGATGTGGTAGTGATGGATGCATGCCATTTCCTGTTAGGGAGGCCGTGGTAGTTTGATCGACATTCACTGCATGATGGATATACTAATACGTACAGCTTTCTGTTTGGAAGAAAGAAGATTGTGTTACTACCGGATACGGGTTCAGTAAAAATAGTTGGCGACAACGCCAATTTACTGACCAGAGTAAAGTTCGAAACAGAGATTGAATAAACTGGGGTACTGTATGTGCTGGAGGGAAAACCAGTTGACAGCGAGCAAGAGGTCCTTCGCAGGGCTCGGCCATTGTTAAAGGAGTTTCATGATATCTTCTTAGAAGAGCTTCTAGATGGATTGCTACCACTGCGAGATATTCAACATCATATTGACTTGGTGCCTAATGCTTATCTACCTAATCGGACACATTACAGGACGAACTCCACTGAACATGAGGAGTTGCCCAGACAAGTGGATGAGCTTCTGGCAAAGGGGCATATTAGGGGGAGTCTTATTCCTTGTGATGTTCTTACTCTCCTTACACCGAAGAAGGACGGGACGTGGTGCATGTGTGTGGATAGTAGGACGATCAATAATATTACGGTGAATTACTGTTTTCCTATTCTTCGTCTAGATGATTTGTTGGATCAGCTTACCGGTGCTTCCGTGTTCAGCAAGCTTGATTTGAAGAGTGGGTACCATCAGATTTGGATCATGCCTAGGGACAGTGGAAGACAACAATTAAGACGAGGGAAGGATTGTACGATTGGAGTTTCCGGTTCTGTACTTGAAGAGTGTCATTTTTTGCTTTCACAACTTCAAACTGTCTTTTAAGAAATTGATAGTCTTTCTCCAATTGCTTTATTTTACACCTAGCCCTATTGTTGTGAAACCATATGGCAATCTGTCTTGGTTGAAGCATGTGGGCTTGAGACAGCTTCACTTTCCTCTCGGGCTCAAGCTTGTTGCTTGACTCGAAACTCTTCTCAAGTGTCTTGACTTGCTCCATGTTAAGCTTTCTTTTCTTCTCTCCCAATTCTGCCATCATCAAACAATTCATCCTTCGACCCATGAACCTCCTCGCAAACATTATCAATACCCAAAAAAGAAATAGATGATCTCTTGATCCCAGGCAGAGATGAATTACACGTGTCAACAAAATATCAAAAATTCAAGATTCATTAGACATGACTAAACAATACTGGGACAAAATTTTAGCTTCTTTTTGGTTCCTTTATACTTTTGCCATTGTGTGTAGTCTACTATATTGAACATGCAAACATAATCCATTTATCCAAACCTCTAATAACTGTCAAATTGCAAGATTGGTGCTTTGAAATGAGGGCATGGTAAGGATTTATATAAAAACAATAATTAAAGGTTAAGCTACTTATCATAACAAGATTGACGATTTAAGATGAAACTTCAAAACCCAACACACACTCGTGTGAGATAGAGAGAGTCATTGAATTCTTGAGGAGTACATGAGGGAAAAAGTTGTGCAAGGGAAGTGGTGGGTTGATGATCATCGTAATGAGGAGTTTGTAGCATGAAATTAGAGGGAAAAAAGGCCATTTCAATGCAACTCATAACCAATAATTCTTGTGCAACTAATTCGAATGAAGACGATGCCAATTCAACTATCATTTTTAGAGAGAGAAGATTGTTTCCATTGTTTCGTTGGATAGATTATATACCGTATCAGCTTCAAGAAATACTTTACCTTTTCTTAATATACTTATATTATGTTGTATGTATGAGAGAATATTTTTCTTGTTGTGTGAACTATTGTTTACACGTACACTATTTTTCTAATATGGTACATGATGAAGTGTATAAAGAGTTAGAGTTTATGATGAAGTTAATCACAATGCAAAATAATGATTTCATGATAATTTCGAGTTTGTCCGTTTTTGACGAATTGCTACTCTAATTCGATTGGAAACGAGCCAATGATCATAACTCAGAGCCTTTTGCCCTAACATACATCGAATTTTGGGCAAATTCTATCATTTAGACCCTCGATTAGGCATTTTTGCCATTTATGATAATTTTTATTTTGGCAGTATCTCATTCAATAAAATTCGAATTCGCATTCCCCTTGTTGGAGGACGATCCTAAATCTTAAGAGTTTCAATTTAAGTTGTTATCTCGAAAAATTCCATTTTTTTATTTTTATTATTTATTTTTTTGATTTTTCTAGGGTTTTACTATTTAAAGCATTGTAAGTTCTTTGAGGTTGCAGTTTATTCAATTGAATAAAATTTCTCGTAAGTTTTTCTCATCTTTGTGAGGTTATTTATCTTTCCTATAATCTTTCGCCACATCGTTTGTAACAGAGCCGAAGTCATTCTTTCACATGCCGTCAATGAGACGTCCAGAAGCCTATGAAGCCTCGATAGAAGCTACATAGACGTGATGAAATCGCACAGCTGCATCAACAAGTGGAGTTGTTGATACAGCAAATTACTGCACTCATGCCACAACAACATGCGCTTGTGGTCCAACAGGTTAAGGATTCTAATGATGAGAATCCGTTTGCACAACTTGAGCATCCAATAGATCTGCCAGTCCGACGGAGGGGGTGGTCAAGATGAAAGCAGGCATTGGGAATCAGGATTCAAGGTTGATATTGTTGAGTTCCATGGTGGATTAAGTCCAGAAGAGTTCTTGGATTGGGTGACTGCAGTGGAGGAGGTCTTGGAATTTAAGGAGGTTCCTGCTGATAAATGTGTGCCTCTCGTTNAAATTTAAGGAAGTTCCTGCTGATAAATGTATGCCTCTTGTTGTGATGAGATTTCGTGGACGAGCAGCTGCGTGGTGGCAGCAGACTAAAGTGACGAGATCCAGATTAGGAAAGTCCAAGTTTGCATTATGTGATAAGCTGGAGAAGCATATGAAGAAGCAGCTTCTGCCCTACAATTATGTTCAAACCATGTACCAGCAACTGCAGAATTTGTGTCGAGGCTTGAAAATGGTTAGTGACTATACCATAGAATTTTACATGTTGATTACAAGGAATGAGATGATGGAGACGGATGAGCAGTTGGTTTCACGATATGTGGGTGGGCTTCGTCCCCAAATTTTGGATACACTGAATATGTTTGATCCTGTGACTGTTTCTAAGGCACATCAGAGGGCAATACAAGTAGAGAAATAGCAGTCCGAAGAAGTACTGTTCCTTTCTCTGCGGGTAGTTCTTCCAATAATCCACTGCATCAGATGACACATTCTAGTAATCCTACCTAACTTGGCCCTTCTAGAACTTATCCTATTCAATAGCCCGCACATCTTGGATGTGGTATTCGCTATTTTGCATGTGGAGGTACAGGCCATAGAATGTCCCAACAATCTGCGCAGAGGATTCTTTGTTGATGAGGGATATGGAGGTTATGAAGGTCCGCCTGTTTATGACAATGAAAACACTGAAGAGGCTAAAGAAGAAGAAGAGTTTGTAGTTGGTGATGTGTGTCGGGCGTTGGTGGTGAGGCGAGCCTTTATGACTCCCTTGGAGAATAACACTGACTGGCTGCGTAATAATATCTTTCAGTGGACGTGTACTGTTGGGGGGAAGGTTTGTAGATTTGTTATTGATTCTGGTAGTTGCGAGAATGTGGTGGCAGAGGAGGTCATTAAGAAGCTGGGTTTTCAGACTGAAAAGTATCCCAAACCTATAAATTGGCCTGGTTGAAGAAGGGCAATGATGTAGAAGTATTTCAGCGTGCTCGAGTCAGTTTCTCCATTGGACCTACCTACAAAGATCGGGTTTTATGTGATGTGGTAGTGATGGATACATGCCATTTCCTATTAGGGAGTGGCAGTTTGATCGACATTCACTGCATGATGGATATACCAATACGTACAACTTTCTGTTTGGGAGAAAGAAGATTTTGTTACTACCGGATACGGGTTCAGTAAAAATAGTTGGTGACAACGCCAATTTACTGACCAGAGCAAAGTTCGAAACAGAGATTGAATAAACTGGGGTACTGTATATGCTGGAGGGAAAACCAGTTGACATCGAGTAGGAGGTCCTTCGCAGGGTTCGGCCATTGTTAAAGGAGTTTCATGATATCTTCTTAGAAGAGCTTCCAGATGGATTGCCACCACTGCGAGATATTCAACATCATATTGATTTGGTGCCTGATGCTTATCTACCTAATTGGACGCATTACAGGACGAACTCCACTGAACATGAGGAGTTGCCCAGACAAGTGGATGAGCTTCTGGCAAAGGGGCATATTAGGAAGAGTCTTAGTCCTTATGATGTTCTTGCTCTCCTTAAACTGAAGAAGGACGGGACGTGGTGCATGTGTGTGGAAAGTAGGGCGATCAATAAGATTAAGGTGAATTACCGTTTTCCTATTCTTCGTCTAGATGATTTGTTGGATCAGCTTACCGGTGCTTCCGTGTTCAGCAAGCTTGATTTGAAGAGTGGAAACCATCAGATTTGGATCAGGCCTAGGGATGAGTGGAAGACAGCATTTAAGACGAGGGAAGGATTGTACGCGTGGTTAGTCATGCCTTTCGGCCTTTCCAATGTGCCTAACATTTATGCATGTCATGAATTAGGCTCTTTTCCCATTCATCGGTAAATTTGTTGTCATTTACTTTGATGATATTCTAGTTTATAGTGCTAACGATGATGATCATGTCTAGCACCTTTGGGAAGTTCTTTCAGTCCTTCGTGGGGATTACTTTTATGCTATAGTGAAAAAGTGTTCGTTCTTGACTGATTATGTTGTATTCTTGGGTTATATGGTGTCTAAGAAGGGGTTAGCAGTGGACACACCGAAAATAGAGACAATAAGCTAGTGACCACAGCCTAAAACTATTGCAGAAGTGCATAGTTTTCATGGTCCTGCTTCATTTTGTCGCAGGTTTATACTATATTTCAGCAGTATCATGGCACCAATTATGGATTGTATGAAGGATGTAAAGTTTTTGTGGACTCCTGAGGCTGAGGCATCTCTTCACCTGATTAAGCAGAAGTTGACTACTGCTCCAGTTTTGGTGCTACCTGACTTTACCCAGCTGTTTGAGCTTCATTGTGATGCTTTAAAGGTGAGTATTGATGGTGTGCTGAGTCAGAACAACCGTCCCGTTACATATTTCACTAAGAAGCTTTCTGACCCAAAGTCTCGTTACAATACTTATGATGTGGAGTTCTATGCAATAGTCCAGGTAGTTTGACATTGGCGTCACTACCTGTTCCAGATGGAGTTTATTTTGTATGCTGATCATGATACCCTCAAATACCTTGGTACTCAAGATAAGGTATTTGCTTGACATATCTCTTGGATTGCTTACTTGTAGCAGTTTGCTTTAGTGATTAAGCACAAAGCAAGTGCCCTTAACAAGGTGGCAGATGA